TGCTAGCTTCAACTAATCACAGTTCCCATCATTCCTTGAAATATTAATTGCAATAAGAACTCATAATGAAAATAAACTTGTTACCTACCTTTCCTATTCACTAAGCATGGCTTCTTTTAAACACATGGGACAGGCATCTTTCACCACAGCTTAGTACCAGTTCAGGGTGGATTAGATACTGAGCAACAGGAAAGAACACCATGTACCTTCAGATCTCTCTTGCCCATCTTCTTCTCTGCATCTTTGGCTGGATCATCTGAAGAACTTGCAGCAACAATGATTTTTTGCTGCCTGGCTTCCCGAAGAGCTTTCTGGGTGGGACCTTCAAACTCTTTCTTCCTTGTACAATCATGGACTATGAAATAAAAACAACAAAAATATCATCAGGATGCTTTTTATTTACTCTTTTGGAAGATCTCTTTACTTCATATTAGGTAGACATGTGAAAGTCTCAAAGAAAGACCATTTTAAATAAAGAGATATTGAGGTTACTGTGCCAAGACCACATACAGCTCTGCTCTACAAATCATTTTGGGTTGATCTGATTTAGCTTACCCAAAAATGCAGCAATCCTGTAGTAGAGAGAGAGTCACAACGAACTGGGTACATTCTCTCATGTCCCATAGAACCAGGAGAAGTATCAGCTCACTGCATGTCCTATCCAGTATCCATCACCAAGGCATTATTCTGATTTACAGCCCACATCTCCTTTCACTTCCCTGCTCTGTCTCCCAACCCACCTTCCCAACAGGGAATTACTTATGAATCGGTAACTCAAAGACATCCTACACAGGCAACACAGCTGTAAATCAAAGAGGTTGAAAGGAACAGGAGCAACAGTACAGCACACATGTGGACTAGAATACAAGGGATCTGCCTTGAGCTGGCAGAAAGGACACTGCTCTCTGACAGTGCTTGTATTGCCAGCTCACACATGCCCAAATATGGTCCTTTGTGATCCCTGTGTCTTACTGCAATGCTCTGTTAACATACTCCTGGAAAAGCTGCAGCCCAGGGCTTGGACAGGGCACTCTCTGCTGGGCTAAGAACTGGCTGGAGGGCCCAGAGAGTGCTGGTGAACGGGGCTGCAAACAGCTGGGATCCAGTCACCAGTGGTGTCCCCCAGGGATCAGTGCTGGGCCCAGTCCTGTTTAACATCTTTATCGATGATTTAGATGAGGGGATTGATGCCACCATCAGCAAATTTGCAGATGACACTAAGCTGGGGGGGAGTGTTGACCTGCCGGAAGGCAGGAGGGCTGTGCAGAGGGATCTGGATAGACTGGAGAGATGGGCTGACTCCAATGGGATGAAGTTCAACAAGGCCAAGTGCCGGGTCCTGCACTTTGGTCACAACAACCCCCTGCAGCGCTACAGGCTGGGCACAGAGTGGCTGGAGAGCAGCCAGGCAGAAAGGGACCTGGGGGTGCTGATCGACAGGAGGCTGAACATGAGCCAGCAGTGTGCCCAGGGGGCCAAGAAGGCCAATGGCATCCTGGCCTGCATCAAGAACAGTGTGGCCAGCAGGAGCAGGGCAGTGATCCTTCCCCTGTACTCAGCACTGGTGAGGCCACACCTTGAGTATTGTGTTCAGCTCTGGGCCCCTCACTTCAGGAAGGACATTGAGGTGCTGGAGCGGGTCCAGAGAAGAGCAACCAGGCTGGGGAAGGGACCTGAGCACAAGCCCTATGAGGAAGGGCTGAGGGAGCTGGGGTTGTTTAGCCTGAAAAAGAGGAGGCTCAGGGATGACCTCATCACTCTCTGCAACTCCCTGAGAGGAGGTTGTAGCCAGGTGGGGGTCGGTCTCTTCTCCCAGGTAATCAGCAGTAGGACAAGACAGCACGGGCTTAAGCTCTGCCAGGAGAGGTTTAGGTTGGATATTCGAAAAAAGTTCTTTACAGAGAGAGCGATCAGGCATTGGAATGGCCTGCCCAGAGAGGTGGTGGATTCACAGTCCCTGGAGGTTTTTAAGACGAGATTGGATGTGGCACTGAGTGCCATGATCTGGTAATCACAGTGGGGTTGTATCAAGGTTGGACTTGATGATCTCAGAGGTCTCTTCCAACCCAGTTAATTCTATGATTCTATTAAGACCTTGACACCAAAATGCAAACTTGCTGACTTAGAAGGTGGAAAAAAATCTCACTCTCTCCACTCTTGAGGCAAAAAAAGCAGATCAAGCAATCATAAAACCTTCCTGTATACCCAACCTGAGTAAAGCTAGAACTAATGGAAAGAACTGTGCCTGGATTAACGAAACATCTGTATTCTCATTGCTTTGAAAGTTACAGCTACTGTCACACATACCCTGAATAATAACTTTCTCTAAGGAATGGTACACAGCGTAATTGGTTTATATATCAAATACTTCCTACTCACTTAGTAACTGCTACCTACTAACACACTGCTCACAGAGTATTTGGTTTGTTGGTGCTTTTGAAATACACATAAACTAATAGTTATGACAATGAAAGAGCTTTAAAAGTTAATAACTATCACCAAAATAAAAAAGAAAGGACAAGTTCCAAAGAACTGGTGCACTAAGAAGCTTGTGTTTACATGTTTGCTATTCTGGTGGGGTTGTACAGGGAATGGGGACAAACAGGCCCAAGTACTTCAACTGGTGCATTTTAAATTTCTTTGTGCATGACCTTCTAACTGCAATTGCATCAGACCAAGGAAAGGAAAAGCACAGTTAACACGCTCAGCAATGAGTTAATTCAACCATGAGTAAAGAAACTCATTGAGTTCAACTTTTGAATATAATTGGGTAGTAAATAAGCAGCTGTTGTTTTTTAGGAAATACAAGAAGAGTACTGAGCAAGTAGCAGTTTTATAACATGTTTATAGAACCAGCTGTTCCAGCAGCATTCACTTAGGTTCACAAGCAGCCCACAATCAACACTGCTCAATTCCTGCAGGAAAAGGTGGTCTTTTCTCACAGCACCACTTAATACTGTGTTTTGATCCGTAAGTAACGGTGTGAGAGCTCTGTTAATACAATAACTGAAATAAAATACCAGCTCTCTCTTGGGTAATTAGATTCCTCTATGTATGATCTTGCTATCACATCAGGAAGGGCCAGATTTAAAACAAAAAGAGTTTTAAACAAAAATCTTCTTTAAAAAATTCCGAAATTACTTTTTAAGAAGTAATCTGAACTCAAAATACAACTTTTCTTTCAGAGCTGATTTATGAGTGACCATAGGAGAGAGAGAGCCAGTCCATGAGAGGACAAAGTCCTAACCAGAACTGTTAACTAGTTCCTCCCCAACTACTAAATGTTCTTCATATCAACTTGAAACAAGCAAGGCAAGAATTAGGAAATATAACTTAGGTTTCTTTAGGTTTCTTAAAAATTATTACAGTTTTTTTCTTGAAGGCCTTTTGTATAAAACAGCAGCCTGACAATGAGACAGCAAAAAACACCTGATAAATAAATTACATGCTCTGTATTGTGGATTCTCTCCTATCCTCTTCAATTGCTTGAAATGCACCAGGCTGAGAGCTCCGGCGTCAAATGCCTGAGTAATAAAGTCCAGAAGAGTTGACCTAAATTTAACATTAAGTACTGTTAATTTTTTTCTACCTAGCTGCCAGACACAAATTTATAGTGCAAACTCATGGTGAATATTAAGAAGCTCCCCTTTGTTCTTTATTTTGCACTATATGACTCACTCAAAAAAAGCAACTCCAAGCAAAAAAACAAACCCACAGTCACAGAAGGGATTGCATTGGAAGGGACCTTTAAGCCCATCCAGTTCCAACCCCCTGCCATGGGAAGTGACACCTTCCACTAGACCAGGTGGCTCAAAGATCCATCCAACCTGCCCTTTAGCACTTCCAGGGATGGGGCAGCCACAGCTTCTCTGAGCAACCTGTGCCAGGGCCTCCCCACCCTCATAGTAAAGCATTTCTTCCTAACAGCTAATTTAAACCTGCTCTTTCTGTTTGAAGCCATTCCCCCTTGCCCTCGTAAAAAGTCTTTCTCCAGCTTTCTTGGACTGGAGGTGCAGAACCTCCCAATTTAGCAAACCCAAAGCTAAGTCAAGCCACTCCCAGTGCCCTTTAGCCAAAGACAGCACTGCAGGTGTTCCACAGCCAGGCCAGGCTGTGGGACAGACTCAGCATCAGGAGCACTGAAGGGCAATCCCTGCTGCTTGGCAGAGCCACCCTCTCTGCTGCAGGCTCTGCAGTGCAGTGAATGCAGACACCTGGCCAGGACAGGCACCTCACCTTGGCTACTGATCACTCAGCACTCTGGGTGTGCTCTGTCTCCAAACTAGAGCACACCAGGGCAGAAAAGGCAGCCCAGAAGAGTCAGCAGTGACAAAATGCAGCTGTAGGGCTCCTTAACAGCCCAGATCTGCAACTGCAACAGCACCAGTGCCTTCCAAACTAATGAATTCAGAGAAAAATGAAGCAAACACTTCTCCAGTATCCAGACACTGTTTGTTTCTCAAGACTGGATTTCTAGTGTCTGAGGAA